TGTTGGCTGTGCTGCATAGATAGGACTGCTGAACTTTCCCACTCCCTTGGCCCGAGTTGCAGCTGAAATGTAAGCCAGATTCCCTGCCTAGGTAGTGTTTGCTCATGCTGGTATAAATAAGGCTGGTGATGGTTTTTCCTCGTGGGCATTTTAAGCAGGAAAGCACCATTTGGCTTCCAGTCAGCTGGGCAATTAGCATTTTATAGCCAAGCAATATACTTAAATGGAGTTGCTTGGCTTGAGCATTGAATTACAATGGCCAGTATACCGCCACTCTTCTTACATGATTTATTTAGTAGTCGCTTCTTGTTTAGGATTCAGGCAGAGGTTAATCTAATTCTGCATGAGAAGCTAGTAGTTATCTGCATTAACTGTAGTGCTGTGCTGTAGCGCAGGGTAAAGTTCTTGTGTAGAGCTTATATTTGCCTGGAAAGGACAGTTTTACCTACTCCTTTCCTAGCAATGCCTTCTTTGCAAGAGCCGTTGGCACACTTACACTGGCATTTAAAATTGCAGCCAAGAATAATACCATAAGAACATTTTATTCCGTGCTGTTGCGTGTGTATTTTTAAGAAGCAAATGTGTATCGGAGTGTACTATGGGCCAAGGAGACTTTGTTCCTACAAAATTACAAGGGGCCCACTTAGCCTGTTTCAGGTAAATAAAATGTTAATATGTGACCATGGTGACTTGAGAGCGAGGGCTACCACTGCATCTCTTCTGAGGATCCGAGGCAGAGAGCAAACATCCGGGGTGTGTGATCTTGGAAGGATAAAAAGAGTAGGTAAAGTGTGCCTCAACACCAGAAACAAATCAGAACCTTTTACATGGAGAGAATCAATGTGTTTGTCTTAATAAGCCTAAGCGCTTAACTCGGTACTTAGAATCTTATCCTGAATCTCGATGTGTCTTGACTTTTCCCCCCCACCCCTAAAGCCCTTGACTGCAAGAATCAATGTGAGGGAGTTTTGGCTTTATTTTGTTTTAAGCTCCTTTCTTAGCAAAGTGATTGCAAAGAGCTTGCAGATCTGAAGCAAATGTGCAGCAAAAGCTTAGAGACAGGAGGCTGCTAGTGAGAACACAGATTTCTTCATTTGTTTAACCTCATGATTTCTAGGTAACCTGATGTTTTTGAATTCTTGGGGGTACCAGTTCTGGAGTGCCTAGCTACTTTCAGCAAAACTTACCTCTGGCTTAGGCCATGTCCTTCTCCTTGCCCAGACCTGCCAGTTGTCTCAGCCAGGTTCGCTCCGCACCTCTGTGGGCAGGCACAGTGAAGGGAGTGACCAGTGGCTGGATACCCAGTTTGACCTTCACTGAGGAAGCCCTCCCTAGCTCTGCAGGGTCACACAACTGCACGTGGAAACCTTTGTGGGCTTTGCTGGCTGAGTTCAGGAGTCTGGCTCATGTAGTGTAGGACTTGGCTGCTGGTCTTTATATTTTGCAGTAGTGCTGTTGACCTACTAACCAGAAGCATCCATTCTTGCATCCATCAGTTCTGTCAAAAGAAGCTGAGACTTTGCACAAATCTCTTTGAGCTTAAAGTATCCTGATCTTTGGCAGAGGAGCGTTTCAGGCACCTGCAGACTCTACACTAAGGCCTGACAGGGATTTGTTTTAAATTGGATTCCTTAGCAGTTCTGATACCAAAGTTATTTTTTTTTCGTGGAAAACTCGTTAGCAACAATAAGAACCACAAAGGGCAAACGGTAGTCTGAGAGAAGAGATTCCTGACTTGCAGTAGCTGGCCTCCGAGCTGGTTAATGGTCTAGGTGTAAAGCTGGCAGCTCAGACCCTAATTGTTCTAATAATCAGGAAAATTGTTACCATATGTTGTTGCTGTAACCTTTACTGTTTTAACCAAGCTTTAGTTGTGCTGTAAAAATGATTAAAAGGTTTCTCACAGGAGAAATTAGATTCCCCCCCTTGTACAGTTTCTCTTGGGAGTACTGTGGTTTTTGGTGAGCTATTTAAAGTGTTTGCAAACACTGTTTTTGCTCTCCAGCAGCTCCTGCCTGGGCATGCTGCCTCTGGCCACGCTGGAAGCAGAAGGACACATAGATGCTATCTCTGTTTCTGCTGCTGTGTCTCGCAGCTGTGTTTGACTTCAAGCATAACAGCATCCTTTTATATAATACAGTAACTTGCTGCTGTTGTGGGCAAATGTTGCATTTCATCTATCATTTCTCTTGCTGGCTGGGCTTCCGTGGCATGTCCAGGTTAACCCAGTGTCCAGTGTAGCTGTGCCCTGGGAGATGGTTGGGTCAGTGGAGCCCTTTGGTCCTCGGTGCTGGTTCGGAGGTTGTAACAGCACAGCTCCCTGCCTGAAGCCCAAGTTTGACTTTGCGGGGTCTTCGGGGTGGGATGGTAAAATATGAAGGGAGCAGAGAGGTCAGACTGAGGCACAGCATTTTACTTGCATTATTGCTGCTTCAGATAAAGAAAACAAGACAATACTGATGAGTGGATAGAAATCAAAGAATTCCTGATTTGCTGTAAGGGGATGGGACTTAGTTTATATTTCCAGATATGGGATTTTAAGCAATGGACCCAAGACATGGTCACAGTATCCCAGCTACTGAGTCAGTCACTGAGTGTCAGCTGAGCCTTATTAACTTTGTGTTTTTAGCCCTGACAAAATTGAGCTAAATTCATCACTGTCAGGGTAAGAACTTTCCGTTATTTTACCTCACACTTGTAGCTGAGTGAGTGGATGGTTTCTTGGTACATCTCTGTTAATAGAGGATGGTTTATTAAGCTGAAGTAGCTCTGTTGCTGTGACTCACTTTCCTTATCTTGGAAAAGGAGGGCAGTGACATTGACCTTCCTTTATGAAGTGTTGAGATCTCCTGGTGAGCTGCACTGCAGAGCAGCTAGGTGTTATCACAAGCACTAGTCTGAAGGTGAAGGCATTTAGAACAGTAAAGATAGTTATCTGTTTAAATAATTTATTTTAAAAATAAATAGGTCAGAGTATCACCTCTTACAACAATCTGAATTAATAAATCACTCTTCACAGGCTCGGGGCCGTTTCTGCTTGTTTTCAGTGACTGTCGGATTCTTGCCAGAGAATACTAAGTTCAGACAGCTCTGAGAGCGTTCAGTCATGGTTATGTTGGATTGTATCCTCAAATAATTTTACAGAAGGAGCTCATGGGATGCTAACAGCATAAAGGTTAGCTGTAATGTCTTTTGTGTCTGCCAGTTAAATAGCTAGCGATCTGATGATTACACAAAGACAACTTCCTGCCTCAGTGCCGCTCCACACACTGGGTGACTGGGAGCACAATTCTTTCTCTTTTTTGCCATGGAAATTGCTGGTTGAAGCTCAATACTTTGGTATATGCAAATTCTGATTTTTTGTTTAAAGCCTGAGTGCCACGTTGTATTGTCATAGCAGATCCTGCAGTCCAGCCATGTGCTGTTAAATCCAATAGGTTCTGCACCTGTTTTGGTAACAGGTGCAAACAAACTTTTGTTTAACATGTCTCGAATGCACAAAGTGTGAGATGCCTTTGGCTAATGACTCAGGGAATGCTTGGTCTGCGTTAGCCAAACTTCACATTGCATAAAGGTCTGTAGAGGCTTCTTTCTTACCCGGACCAAAAACCCCATCAGCTGTGCCACTGATTTATTTCTACTTCCTCCAGAAGAGAAACTGCTGAGGAGTATGTGCTGGGTATGGATCAGAGGAGGGGGGAGCCCACCCAAAACAAACAAAAAACTGATGTGCAAAAGATTTGGTTTTAAAATATCCACTCTGATTACTTATCCAATGCTGCAGGCTCACTGAACTATTTCCTCTTTCAATCAGGCTTAATTTTCCTCCTATGGTAACTTTGAAAGCAGAGGGACAACAATGGGGTGATTTGGAGGGGAAGTGTTTGGGTGAATGGGTGATTGTTTCAGGAAGCTGTTTCTGTGCTCAGCTGGGGCGCTTCTTCCCCTGGCTCTGTCGGAGGCAAGCTGGGAAGAGGCACCTGCCAAACATTTGGTAGAGTTGTATGTGTGAACCTTTGTTTCCTGAATACTAGCACCGTGCTTTAATCACACAGCCATTTCCCTCCCAGGCTTCTTAGGTGAAATAAATACTGCCCTGCAAAATGTTTTTTCAGATCATCACAAGCGAGTGCTGGTAACTGCAGGTTGAAGCTAACGACTGTGCTGTGCTCTGTGTGTTACTGGGGTGCGTGGCTGACTGTATGACCGCAGAGTCCCCTTTGCAGTGTACTTATTTGTCTGCCTTTGAACATTTTGCCTGCCCCAGGACCTGTAGGCTTTCCTGCCCCCAAAGCCCATTCCGTCATTTCAGAGTAGCTTCAGGCAGCTAACATTTACATGTTGAACCTGACCAAGCAATGCACCTCTCTTCTCTCATCTCCCCCATAAAAAGCCCTTTAAATGAGGTTTGTGACATAGTCAAATCTGTTTTACTCCCCATTAAAAACAATGCAAACAAACCCAGAACTTTAAATCCCGTTTCCCTGAGCAGTGCCAGATGCCTGTTCAATAGCTTCCCCCGCACACCCACTGCTCTAGCCCATCGTTAAAATCTCAGACCCATGAAGTAATTTGACCAATTATTTGAATTACTCAAACTTCACAGAATGGCTTAGGTACATTTGATGAACCAGCTGCATTTATATGCCCTGCAACATGACAGCAGCTGTATGTTGAACATCAAATGAATACAGGTCATGCCTGGGGTAAAGGCATGACTGATGGGTGTGCCTGGCATGGCCGTGCATTTATCCTGATTAGTGCCATGGGACCCTTTAAGTTCTATATTAGCCATCATTAAAGGAGGTGATTAGTGTGTGTTAGCTGTGCAACCTGATGCCATCTTCAAACAGTGATTTCTCTCTCAAGTGGGGCTTCCTCTTGTGACCTCTGACCTGCTAGTACCTTAAAGGCTTTGTAATCGATGGAGCTCTGTATTCTTTGTGGTGTGATTGATTGGAATTCCTTCACACTGATTTTGCCTGTTCTCTTTTGTTTAGGAGGTCCTTCAGCAGCTGATTGTAATGAATTTACCAAGTGTTTTGATGATTGGCAAAGATCCTCTTTCTGGTGAGTAGTTTGTGACTTCTTCACCCCCTCTTCTGAAATGCTAAATAGAAATTGTATTTTTAAAATTTTCTTAAATAACAAACATGCTTGTTAACAAACCATGCCTATTTGTAGTCAAGCTACAAATATTTGAGTATCTTTGAGTCTCACACATTAATGTAACTAGTGTGTAATACTTATAGTTACATACCTTCACATGCAAATATAATATCTGATACATGTGTGTTTGCACATCATACACATGTGATTGTGAGTAAGTTCTTGCCAAAACTAGTGCATCGTCTGTTTGCTTGAAAGTCGTGTCTCTTCACTCCTTGCTGCAAGTGACCCAGGATATAGTCTGCCATAGGAGATTTTTTTTGTCCTCCAGGTTTTCTGTCCTGTATGCCTGTATAATGAGTTCAGTTGTGGCAATATGCACACACCAGAAAAGTCTTGCAGAATTGCCCTCAAGTGTGAAGGAACTGTTCCAAATGAAGTGTGGGAAGAAAAATATGTGAGGATGGAAAGAGAAATACATACATGATAAATGGTGGAAAGTGAGGAAGAAAAGGGTCAAGGAGAAAAACATCTGTCTGGCCATGTTGTCTAGGCAAGGACATCTGTCACGTGAGGTATCACACCAAAACTGACCTGGAAGCCAATGAGCTTGTGTCCAGAGTCCAGTGTCTTTGGTGAGACAAAATGCAAGCTGTTTACCCTGAAAAGGAAGTTGGGTTCTTATAGCCACGTTTCTGAAATGAAAGGATTTGTTGCTGTGTTTTGGTGGGGTTTTTTTTTTGCATGCCCGTTCTGTCTCTGCCTTAGCCCCATGCCAGTGCCAAGGACAATGTATTTGTTTTTACCAAAGAAGGAAAACTGGACGAACCCTCTCAGCGGTGATGGGGAATGACAGGGTAATCAGCATCTCCAGAACAAACAAATGGCAGAAAGCTTGGCAGAAGGTTTTACTTTGCCGCTCTTAGCAGTGGTAGTGTGTGTACAAAAAAGGGCTTGTATCAGAAAAGATACTAACTTACAGATGTTGGGTCACTGAAACTCGTAGTCGTGGCGATTCTATATTAAAATCAAGCTGAGGGTAAGGCATCAACTTCAGCAAGCAGATTAAAGTATGCAATGCTTGTCTTAGTTCTCCTGTGCAGGCTACTGTTAAGGGTAAAGAAGAAAATAGAAATACAAGAGCTGTTGCATTCCTCGGTCATGCAGGCAGTGGGCAGAGCCAAGGCTGCTAGTATCAAGAATGCTAGTGAATAGAGGTGTCTGGGCCAGCAAGGCAGTGTCTCTGCTGGCCAAGTGTCAGTGGAAGAGGCTGGTTTCTTGTCATGGCCATTCCTGAGTGACAGCTGGCAGGAGACTCATAATGCAGTAACCACAGCGTTGGTTCCTGGGGAAGCTGCCCACTTGAAAGCTGTCCTGTGCTTAGCTATAATTTCCCATCGCTGCCCTGCTGTTCTTTGTCAGCACCTTCGATCTGTCTTTCTTCGAAGAAGGTACCTAGTGCGTTGTTGAGGATTTTCTGCAGGACTATGGTCATGTAGAGAATCTCTGAGCCTGAGCAACCCTGGCTTCGGCCTAGAGCAAGCAGGTCACTACAGGGCCTAGAAGAGAAGGTACAATGCAGAAAGGAGAAGAAACAACGTTACAGCAAGAAGATCTGAAGGTCTTGGGAATGAAGAACTGGGAACACTCACAAGGTCACAAAACCGCTGCGCCTGACCAAGCAGAAACTGCAAGTTGCTACATGAACAAAGCTTGCTTATAGCCAAGATGCTACATACACAAAGCTTGCCTTTAGCAAGGTGCTGCATACACAAAGCCTGCTTACATTAAAGATGCTGCATGTTTTAACAAATAATACTAGCTAGGAACCAATCATAATCGATGACGTGCTAAGCATTTAACAAGTGTATAAAAAAGGCATGTAATTCTGCAATAAATGGGCTCATATTGATCATGGTGTGAAGTCCGTTATTTCATCTGCCGCAACAGTGCGTCTCTTGTAGGAAATGATGCTGGTAATCCCTGTGTTCCCATCTTCCAGCTCATTTAATTGCAACCAGAAATTTCACTTCACTTTCTGACATCTTTTAAAATGTGGTTGGTTTGTTTGAATTTTTTTTTTTTAATGTGGTCTTCCTAAATTTATTTTATGTGTTGCTGCCTTATCGTTGGTGTTATTCAGAACAGGAGAAGAGAGGATGAAGAATACAACAGTACACCTTCTGGGTGTCTAGAATTGATGGGCTGTGTGTATAGAAATGTGAAGTTCGTGTTTAGTTGTATTATAAAATGGTTTTGAGATTAATTCCCAGCTTAGACACAACAGAGGAAGGTGATTAACAAAGAAAGACTTGAGATTACTTGATCCAAAGAATTTAATCAAGGAGAGTGTCTGAGGGATGGGATTTTGAGAGAAACTTGTCTTAATCTTGCCCTTATGTAGATGACTGCTGGTAAGATGTGCTGAAGCAACGCTTAGAGAAGTGGAGAACTAGAACTGCCTTCAGGAATAGGAACCTGGTGAGGGCTGATGGGAAGCTTGGAAAGAGGGAACAGGGAGGAGAAGGCTGAGAAGTTAGTAAAACCAGTACAAGAAGCTGAGTGAAGGAATAGGCTGTGGTGAGTTGTGTGGGCGAGTGATGGCCAGGTGACTGTCAGGCTGGTGTCTGGTACAGTGTCTTGCAGAGAGGAGTGAGAGGAAGGTGGGGGCACTAGGGAGGGGAAGCACAAGGGAAATGGGAGACTCTGTCAGTGAGAGAGCTGAAGGAGGGCAGCAGATTGAATAGAGACGTGAGGACAAAGCAGTTATCGGCATGAGAAGCAGTGCTTCTGGCATGAATACACAGAAGTCCCAGGGAAGGCTGTCAGAGAGGGGAGGAGGCTGGGGGTGACACCAGTATGGGGAGATGATGGAGATGGTTATTTAAGGGAAGTGTTTAAAAATGGTGAGAATGGCAGAGGAGAAACCTCTTCTATCTGTCTGAGTCCAGGATAGAGGCTGAGAGGAAAGGAGGGTCCTGGAGGGGGCATCTGCTGAGGCAGTGCTGGGCAATGTGGGGAGCACTGCAGGGGATCTGCAGGGCTGGGGTGGCTCTGAGAGGCAGTGGTGAAATCCCAGTTTTGCTAGCCCCATCCTCCAGGTTAGTTGTCTGAGTAAAAGGTTTGTCTTGACCAGAGGAAGAAAAGTTGAGCCGTCATCACATTCCTGGAACAAATACAGTGTTGCTGTGTGCTGTTTGAGCTGGGATGGTCGTAATGACTACTGACTCCATAGCTTCAAGACCAGAGAACTCTCTTAGGTCATTCAATGTGATTCACCGTGTAACAATTTCAAGTGACTTAACTCCTTGTAAGAAGCCCAGGTGGTGTTTTGCTCTGCATGTTTTTTGGAACTGTCTGTTCACCGGTGCTATCTGCAGATTTTACTTTTTCCTTCTAAAAAAGTGCTGTTGCAGGTATTAAATTACAAACAGAACAGCTCTAAAGCTGAGAATGATGTTCTTGCTATTTAGCTCCTGTTTGAGGCTCAACAGCTGGGACTGTTGAGGGCTTCTGTAGCTCTACTTTGAACATAAGAGTATTGGAAAAACAGAGCTGGCACCACTAAAAATCCAGTAGCAGTTGGGCTTTTGCACAGAAGGCACATGTCTGCTGGGTTTAGGAGCTTTACTTGCTCTCATGTCCTCTAAATCATTTTATTCCAGGCCATGGCAATTTTGCCTACTTCAGTTCGTTTGGCCATGGGCATGGAAGTTGCAAAAATGTTTGTTAGAAGATGAAGGCTTTGACTGTTTTGTAGAATATAGGAAGCTGGAAAGGAACTTGAAAGATTAATTAAAGGATTTAGGAAATTCTCCCAGGAATCTGACTTGCAGAATGATGCAGCTGACATTATGGAATTTATTCTTTTCACTGCAGTGTACAGTAGACAGCTACTACCATTAAATTTCCTCTCTGTTTTTGTCTTCTTCCATGCTTTTTCTGTCTTACCAGGTTTTTCAATTCATTACCGTACCACACATCCCCTGGTGCTCAATATGAGAATCATCAGTGTATTTGTCATATATAGACATCACTGCAATCACCTTTAAAATTACCTCTGGATTTAGCCTGCCTTATAAATGGCCACTCATTCATGTGCCCGCTGGAGGAATATTAGTGTACAGTACTGATCCTGAACCTCTATTTAGAGGCGTTGTTTAATTTCTTAGTTTCTAGACATGCATAGTTAACACAGGTAGTGAGTGTACTTGGGAACTGATGGCAATTAATCATTTGAAACAGTCATAATTAATTGGGAGGGGATTTTTTAGCTTTTTTCAGCCCAAGAACGGAAAATGAGGTTTTTATTTGCCTGAACTAGGCTCATTTCTGTCTTTCAGAAAGCTTTGCTATTTAGATCCCCTCTTCAAATTACACGTTAAGGTTGTGAATGAGCGAGCCTGAAGTCCCTACTAAGAAATGTCCATAGAATCTTTTTTTCATTAAAATCCTAAAAGATGTCTACTCTCACTGGGGTATTTTTTCACGTCTGGTTTCCTTCCTCATTTTGTTTCACAAACCTCCAGAGGCACAAAGGCTCATAAAATACAAAGTTAATAACGCAGTGCCTCAAGAGTGTAAATTGAGAAAAACTCAAATGCTAACTCAGGTTGTTTCTGCTGTTGGGAAAAATGGCACTTGCGTCTTTGACCCCTTCCCACCTTCTCCACGGACCCACTGGCTGCTGCGTGTAGCCCTGCCCATGCTGGGGCTGGCTGTCCCCTGCTGCAGGAGTGTCGGGATAGAAATGTGCAGGAAGAAGCGGCACAAGCTCGCAATGTCACGGCCTTGGGCTCTCTTGTTTCCCTTTTCACTGAAATCTTTCCTACACCCACCTCAAATTTTCCCCCATTTTGTTTTCATTGTCTGTATTCTCCCTGTACCTTGATCCTCCTTTTTTTTGTTGTCCACTCCTAATCCCTCTGCCCGCCTTCTCCCGAGTCCTGCCATCTGTTTCCCACCCTCATCCCCTGTGAGAGTAGAGGGGTCTCCTGGCTCTGGCTCAGGGAGACTCCCAGTTTGCACAGGTGGTGCTCGGGCTTTCCCTGCCTTTATTTTCCAGAAAACCCACTGGCCCTCTGTCAGGGCTGGGAGCAGATGGTTTTTCTGCAACCCCCTCAGGTGGCTGGCTCCCTTGCAGGCCTGAGAGCAGCTGCCCTGGAATTTTCAAAAAGGTGTAAAAGAAAAGAGTTGGGATTTTTTTTTTTTTTTGATTAACACCTTTTTGTTTAAATGCTATTTTTGAATCTTGCCTATTCATTTCATTTTGTGGGTGCCTGTCTGCCAGCAGCTGCCCCAGACCTGAGCAGTCTCATCCTAGGTCGTAGGAGGATGCTGTCTTGGAAAGGTCAGCTAGTCAGCCTGGGTGGACCCAGCAGACTTTCTTCCCTGCTATCTAGGCCGGACTTGTGTCATCCCCATGAGCCAGCATAGGGAAGGGCTGCACCTTCCTGCTTATAGGCCATGCACAGGGAACTTTACCACCTTATTAAATTGGCCCAAATCAAGTCTTTTGAAAAAGCTATGCAGAATAATCCACAGCTTGGGCGGCATGATGGAATTGGGGATAAACATCGCTTGCTTTTGTTCAACATGCGGTACAGGATACATGCACTGTCCTGGGCATAAAGCTGTGCAATAATCTTAGGTGTGCTTCTGATTCCCTTGGTGACCTTGGGCACTCCTTTAGTGTACGCTATCTCAGCTGCCCTGTGTGTGAGATGAAAGGGGGAGAGGGGTAATTAATCCTTTCCTGGCTCTTCTGAGGTTTAATTGAAAACTCTCTCTAAAGCACTTGAGATTGGTACCGTTTTTTTTTTTTTTCCTACTCATACCCTATTTCTTCTCAATATCTTCTGTAAATAATGTTATTCTGTGAAGCCTTAAAATGTAACTCAAACCTAGCTTCAGTACGAGTGATCTTGGAGCACCTTAATGCCAACAAGTGTCTCGGCCCCATGGGAAACTACTTCTGAATGAAAACCCAAGGAATTGAGAGAAGTGTAACTCTCTATAGACGGTCACACGTGATCTTCTGAAACACTTCTGTGGCTGGCAGAGTAGATCTGCCAAGTAGCTCTTTCTACCTTAGAAGTGTTTCTAGTGGGTAGCACAATCTCATTTTCAACACATGGACATAGCATGTCTGCAAGTGTACAATAATTTATTGAAAGGAAAAATCCTCACAGCGAAGTTTTCTGTGAGAGCTGCCAGTGGGAGAGCAGACTGCCAAGTGTTAGCTTTAAAACAGTAGCAAGCTAATAATCTCGTGATTACCTACAGCCTTGTAGGTTACAACTTTTCTGTAAACTCAGGCTTGGCCTTCCCTGCCAACAGGGTGTGCCATGTCGGCCTCCGTTTCCCTTCCTGATGGAAGGGGATGAGGTCTGGAGGTGGCATTTCCAGGCAAGGTCAGTTCCTGGTGGAAGAAGAGGGTTGACCTTGCAAAGTTACTCCACAGTAGTGGCTGAAGGTGTTTCCCCTCACAGGGTCATGCAGCATCGCCGGTGCCCATCTGGTGTCCCATGCAGAGAATAGCAGAGCCTTTGGGGCAGAGCGGTAGAGTGTGGTTTGGGGGGTTAAGTAGCTCACATGTCTTTAGGATGGTATAGGTGCTCTCGCTGTTGGAAAGTAACCCTGATGTTTTCTAAAATGAGTGATTTTAGAATGAGTGATTTTTTTAGAATGAGTGAAGAAACGCTGAGAGAGTTAGGCTTGTTCATCCTGGAGAAGAGAAGGCTCCGGGGAGACCTCATTGCAGTCTTGTTGTACCCCCCTTCAGGTACTAGGGAGCTGGGGGGGACTTTTTACAAGGGTCTGTAGTGATAGGACAAGGGGTAACAGGTTTAAATTGAAAGAGGGTAGAATTAGATTTGATATCAGGAAAAAGTTCTTCCCGGAGAGGGTGGTGAGGCACTGGAACAGGTTGCCCAGAGAAGCTGCGGATGCCCCATCCCTGGAAGTGTTCAAGGCCAGGCTGGATGAGGCTTTGAGCAACCTGGTCTAGTGGAAGGTGTCCCTGCCCATGGCAGGGGGGTTGGAACTAGATGGTCTTTAAGGTCCCTTCCAACCCAAACCGTTCTGTGATTCTATGATTTGAGGCCACTAGGCTCACCCTGAGGATAGCTGTGATGCCATGGTGCATGGACTGGGATTTATGGTCAACAGATGGAGGTGCCCAGAGAACGCAAGGGTTAGAGCACTTTTCTGGTGCGATCCAGAGCAAGCAGCCTTCAGTGTCATGGGGAAGATGTTCTGCTCTGAGTAAGTTTGGCAGAGTGAGAGATTCTCATTTGAGTCACTTGCTCTCCATAACATAGCAAACTTGCTTGCATGTCCCACAGGCCTGCTCTGTGTTTAAGCCCTGGTCTGGATCTGCTCTGAAGTTGATGCAGAATGAAACCCAATGCTGAAACTCTAATGAGAACTCCATTTCATGAAAAAATGTCTTCTGACCAAACTAAGTATCTCCCTGGGCTAGTAGTGCCCTCAAAGGAACTGTTCATGAAGTAACAGATCTTTTTGTGTTGTTGCTGAGGGAATTTTTTTTTTTTTTGGTGACACTGTCTGCATTTAAGGTTGTGTTATTCAGAAGCCTGCAAAACAATCAGACTTTGGCAGACTAGAATGTTTATTTGTATATTAAATTGTAGTTTTTCACAAAAGAGCAAGCCGTGTGTGCTGCTAGATAGGGGAAAAGAGTAAGAAAATCGTATGTCTTTCAAAAACAGTCTTTAAATACTCTGCAGGGAACTGAACAATATTGTATTTACAGGATGAAGCGTGAACTCGCACATTTTAAATATCTCTGCCTCTGCAGAAGAGAAGAATTACTGCTTGCAAAATCTTAACTGATTAATAATATGAGACTTTGATATTGGGAATTCTAGGGTTGATTGGTACAGTATACTGAAAATTCCTGTAGGGCATTCTTGAAACATTTTAAAGGTCAACATTCATAAAAGTTGTTGGAAAATTGTTTAACAAGTAAGATACATTTAAAGACTGGTTTAGGGCATTTGTGTGCTGTAAAATCAGGAAACTGGAAAACAAGTTATTCCCTAAGCTGCCTGCACATGGCCGCGCTGGCTTGCAAGGTTCTCTGCATGGAAGTAGCACCCCTGGTAATTTAGGTCAGTGTGCCTTTGTGCATCTGTGGGCTGCCGCAGCTGAAGTGGTGAGTCGGTTAACTCCAGTTCCCCAGCCCCGGGTCCTGCACATGTCCCGTGCTGTCTGCCAGCGCAGCCTTACCGGGGCATGGTGTTGGTGGAGGAACACAGTTGCGCTCAGAAATTGTCATCTATTTAGAGATAGGAGCAATCGAACACCCGAGTGAAGCAGGGTATCAAGTGAAATCATTTATCCCACAGTTACATGCTCTATGTCAGGAAGCATGCAGATGTGTAGGGATGAAAAAAACCTGTACGTGGCCTGTTTCTGTCTCCTCTTCCCCTAGCATGGGTGAGGACAGGCTTTTTCTGAACCTAACTCCGTAATGATTTTTTTATTTCCTCTTTGAAGCTCCTTGCCTTCCCTCTCCCTTTGTCTATCTTTGATACTTGTAATTTTCTTTACCACCTAACAATGCCCAGGTTAATTTTGTCAAACCAAGACTTGGAGCTGGTTCAAAGCCCTGCCACTTCGCCTTGTGCACTTTTTCTCTCTCCCAGCCTTGGGAGGCGGTGGGCAGGGCTGTTGGTCGCAGCAGGATTCCCTGCACTAACAACCTGCGTGTGTCTCTTCCCCTGCGGCTCCCCGAGCATATGGTTAGCTGAATATTCTCCCTTCTGCATCACTTTTTTTTTTTTTTTTTAATCCCTCTTAGCACATGGGGTTTGTGTTTCAAAGTGTGAACAGGCTTTGATGCAGAACAGAGGCAGAATTTATTTGCTAAAATACCTCTCGGAGAGAACTGATGTGCACAGAATGGCATTCGGCTTTGGGAAGTCTGAGTGGCGACTATTTTACCGACAGAGAATTTAGGACAAGTTCTTTTTATTAGAGTAACCTTCATTTGCTTCTGCCCAGGGTGGTTTTTGTTTTGTTTTGGTGGGGTTTTTTGGAGGGGGGCAGGAGGTGGTGTTGGTTTGAGCTTTTTTTGCACCTCGTTAATCACAAAACAAGGGACAAGCATTGGACTATTTAAAGGTTGGGGTTTTTTTGGGAGGGGGGAAGTTTCTGCATTGATCAGAAATGCCTCAGAAAATGTAGGTGAGTATACCACATAGAGGAATAAAAGTCTTCTTGGATTTAGGATTTTAAATTAATCCATAAGAACTTTATTGTTGCATGGAAAGTATGGTAACAGTGTAATGGGCACATATATATTGTTCAGGTGCTTGTTTGAAGGTCTTATTTCTCTTTTCAGGAGGATGTATTGGAGAGGATCACTTGCAAGTACTGGATTTGTGATACATATGTACTGATTCCCTATTTTCCTCTCTAGGTAAAAGTATGGATGAAATTAAGAAGCTGCTGTTATTGGTTCTGGGATGTGCTGTGCAGGTGAACGTTCATTAAAGGCTTAAAAATAAGTTGTGTTTTTTTGTTTTGTTTTGGTTTGGTTTTTAATTGAGAAAATACACCCAAAGATCAGTGCTGTATGAACAAATCTCCACCTCAAGACATCTCGTGAGCTGAAATTGTGAGGAGACACAGTAGGCGAATGAAAGAAATGCAGGGGAAAGGAAGCCCACTTTGTGATAGCAGTAACCTCAATTTGTTGCCAGTGCTTATACAGCCACAGGATATGTATTCTTGAAACAAATTAGTCCATTTGGATAACAAAGTGGGAAGAGATAAGCTTGGAACAGTGTTCTTGATAAAGATTGTTGTTGGTTTATTTTCTTAGCATTTTAAATAGGGAGTGTAACAGTACGTATTAATGCCAAGCAAATAGGTCTGCTAACAGTCTAAACACTTGTTTAATGAATCCTGATTTTATTTGCATAAGCTTTTGGTTGAATATTACGTGTAGAAAATCCAAAATGAATAGATACGTTGTATATTCATGTGGGGATTTTTATGCGACATTTGTTAAAATAAATAGACAAGCAATGTATATGGGAAACTCCCCAGAAATGCACGACAGTTACCAGATAAAGAAATCAGTGTTCTGCTCACCAAACCTCTGTGCCTGTAAACAATAGGCGTGTTGCAGGCTAGCCTTTGCTTATAATTGACCTTGTTTGTAGGTCTGTCTAGTGTTTTTGTCATGCCTTAGGACACTTACCCCGCTCAGCTACGTCAAGTCAATTATGTCAGGGTAAAGCTGTCTACATATGGCTACTCTGGACTATCTCAGTGGTGCATTGCAGCACAAAGAATAAAGGTCTGATTGGGCAAACGGCTGTGCATCCTCAGTCCCCGTTTATGGGTCTGAGGTTTTTCCCAGTGAAAGGAATGGTTGAGACTCAGACCTGGGCACCAGAAGGACACTGTAAGTAAGGTTAAAAAACTTAAAGTAATGCTTAACTTCTCCACAATGCAGAGTTGTTAGGAGGAGGCAATGATGTTAGTGTACAATCACAGGTATACAGATAGCAGATGTCTGCCTCTTGTAAAGCCTTAAGTAAAAGATTTGCTAAAATCTGTTTGAAATGTCGCTCATTTTTATCCAGAATGTTTCCCAAGCCCATTTTTTATCTAAAGCACATGTTGTTTTAGTCCAACAAACAACATTATGCATTTATGTGAACAATGTCTAAAGTGATGCATCTCTTTTCATTGCCAAAACCAAGCTAAATGCAAACACCAGTGCAGACAGGTTAAATAATGCAATGTAAATGTCGGTTTATGTTTGTGCAGCTCTGTTAATAAAGCTGTGATGATTTTCCCTGGCTGTTGCCCCACCTCTTGAGCTCATTGTGTGTTGATCTTGTTTTTAAAGAGCAAAACCAGCCATTTAACTTAGACTTAATTGTACTTACTGCAAAATGTTTAAATAATTTAATGCATAATTTGGTCCATGCTCCATACGGAGTGCTGAAGTGTTACACCTTCTAATGTGACAGTGTAGATCTCGAACGTTTTGTGTTAGCAGTGTGGGGATTTGGTTTTTTTACTTAAATGAAAAACGGTGCAGTAAGTTTTAGGATATGTAGTGCTGTTTCAGCCTGTGTTTTCTTTTAACAGTGTGAAAGAAAAGAAGAGTTTATTGGAAGAATAAAACAACTCGATATCGAAACCCAAGCTGCCATTGTGTCACACATTCAGGAGGTTGGACTCTGTTGTTTATTTTGACTTCTTATCTCTCCCTTCCTTAACTAAACAAGGGGTTTTTTTGGTATAAAAATATTGCTGCTTGGAACGTCCTTATAGATTCATGAACTTCACACACAAAAAAAGATTGAATATGTTATTGCAATTAAATTATAAGGTGAAAATGATAGGCACTGGGAACATTATTTGGCTCAGTGGTCTTTTAAACGGATGCAGTGGTAGATGCCTTGCTTGCTAGTTACAGGCTGTGTAGAATGAATTTCTGTAAGGATCCATGTGTAATATATCCATAAAGCTTGTCTGACCTGGAATCTGCAGGGCCCTTTGCAGCAGTAGTGTAGGTGCCTAGTCCCCCTGTCCTGTGGAGGTGAGGGTCCCCGGCGGCTTGCTTCAGGCAGTGGCCTCCGAGCTCGGAGGTCTGGGAAGTGTACTCTGCAGCTGACATTGGACATAGACTCTGTTCCTAAAGAGAAGTTTGATCCAATAACATGTATTCTCAGACATCTAAGGTTTCTGTAGAAGGAAGGAATACAGGTAGGTGTTAGGAGCCAGCTTGCTTTGGGAGACCCAAAGGAGATCTGTGTATGGCCCCTCCTGGGTGCGCCTCGCCGGGAGCGGGCACTGGCTGCGGCCGGGTGCCAGCATACGCAGGTGTGGAGGGTCGGATCTGAGGAACAAACAGTGAAAGTCTAAGACAGGAACTGCTTTTTTAACACTTAAAAAAAAAAGATAGTTCTGCTTAAGAAAAAATAAATTGTCATGAACTAAGCACATGGTTATGACAAAAGCAGGAACAGTCTTTAGCTGAGCTTGAGAGACTTGCCTGATGTTTCTGCTAAACGATTCGGAGAAAATCAGTTTGGGTAAGATAGCAGCAACCAGAGACATTTCTGCCAAAGGCAGCTCTTCCCAGCTCTACTATCTGCAAATTGCAAATTCATTGAAAGCAGGGCTGCTTCTTGGTGAGACACCAGCCTTAGCTGTTCAGTTTGGGATCAGTCCCTTCCAAGTCCTTGTGGTGACCACATCAGTGCTTGCAGTAAGACAACTGCATCCGTCTAGTAGGCAAACACATGTGCTATTGCTCATCAGCGTATCTGATCACTTTTGAAAATCAGCCTTAATAATTCTAAAATCATCTAAATACTAGAAATTGCTGGGTACTGTTACAGTTAAGGTAGTGTTTGTAATTTACAACCCAGTTTTGGTGAAATGTGATAGGTCTTTTGATCAGTAGAAAAACGTAGGGGATGCAGCATGTACAGCAAACAAATATACAAATCAACTGGTGGAAAGACTTTTTTTCTGTTCCTAGGTGACTCACAACCAGGAGAATGTCTTTGACTTGCAGTGGCTGGAGCTCCCAGATATGGCCCCAGAAGAACTGGAGTCTCTCTCCAGGAATATGGTTTTCCACCTCAAGAGGCTCATTGATGAGAGAGATGAATGCACAGAAGTACGATGACTTACCTCTCCCATAGAAAGCTCATGTGAAGCAGCAGATGCAGGCTCCATTCCTTCTCTTGTCTTGTTTGTGCACTGGGTTTCTATTTCCTCTGCACCTTTCTACTGCACCTTTTGACAATCTGTAGGAAGATTTTGACTTTTGCATTGATTATCATGTGAACACTAAGGTGTGGTGAAAAGATTGGTAAAGAGGAGTGAAAATATTGAAGACTGTCTTATGATTTCTGTCTCTGTCTGTCCGCTCAGTCATTCATCTTTGCGTGATTACTTGCTTGTCTCTCCGTTGATATCTACCATCGTGGGTTCCAGTGTCTTTACTAGCTTTTTTGGTGTGTGAAGATGGCCCTATCTATTGCTGACTCACCAGTTCCTTTCCCTTCAGATCTCTGGCGGAGGCTTCTCCCTTTCTTTAAGCTGTTAATTTTCTGTTGTGCTTTTATCTGATTGTCATAGTTAAAACTGTTAGTTGTTATAGGTTTTTATGAAATCTCCAAGCAAAACAGACTGCTTATTTTGAGCATAGGAAGGGGAATGTTCTAGCGGTCTGAGCATAGTGGAGGTTCCTCCTCTGTGTGACCTTCACTCCTGGCTGTCACTTGAATTCTCTATAATGCCAGGCTAGTAATTTTCTGTGCTCATAAATCACATTCAGATACTTAAAAACCAGTGTATAATTACACTGTTTATTTCTTGACACTACATTCTTCTCTGTATTTCCAGGTCATTGTAGATCTCACTCAAGAGAGGGATTATCTGCAGTCTCAGCAACCCCCAAGTCCTCTGAAAGCACCAAGTCTGGATTCTTCACCGAACCCAGCCAACCCTCTTTCTAATGAAGACAAGCAGCACCTTGCAGTTGAGCTGGCAGACACGAAGGCGAAGTTGAGAAGAATCCGGCAGGAGCTGTGAGTCACCAGTAATTTGTGCCTCTAGACAGCCTTGTATACTAATTCTTTTGCATCCTGAAAATGCAGGTGCCTGTCAGCTTCAGCACAGTGGCCTCCAGGGGACCTCTCAGAATCACCTTTCAATTTTTTTTATTTGTAGCAGTAGCAATGTAGTATGGATGTCCCATCTTTCTTCTTTCTTACCTCATCTTTAAACACAGAGTGATGGCTACTTCCATTTTTCTTTTTGGGTCTCCTATCTCTCTTCTTCTCTTCAAAATGCCAACTGCGAGTTGCACTTTTTCGTCCAGAGGCCAGTGAAGCTAGCTGTGAGAGCAAGTAGCACCAATGATATTTAAACAGAGGTACTTAGTATAAAAATAGAATTGCAAACTCAGATCCATGATACGGTGTTACGGGAGAAAACATCTTGCTTTTATGATGCTGTCAAGACAAAGAGGCTCTGTTCAGAATATGGTAGGAGATATCTGTCTTCCTTTCCAGATTCCCAGCAGCATCCATATAATCAGTATTGTTTCAGGGGGGGAAAAAAAATCTTACTAAGATTTTTCTAATCCTTTTCAGGGAAGAGAAGTCTGAGCAGCTTGTAGATTCTAAACATGAAGTTGAGCAGCTCACCCTAGAGCTGCAAAAAATAAAACAAGAGGTAAGATGGGCTTGTTTTACTGTGACAGTCTTCCCTATTTAAAGAAAAACCTCTTTCAGTGGGAGGTTAAAAATACTACTATGCCTATTTTTTAATGAAGAAATCCAGTAACCCCAGCAAGCTGGTTTGATGATTATAGCTATGGCATAGCAATGCTGTGCTTTCCACAACTGGTGACAGCAGTCTCCTCTGTTCAGCTTGCAAATAGCCTAATCATGCCAGAAGGTTATGCAGTGTCAGGCATTAGAAATGTCAGGGTCCCAACAGGCGGAAGAACTTCTCTGTCTTTTAGAGAATTTACTGCTTAGTAGGAGAATTCTCTTACTCCTGAACCAGGGGAATGCTATTTGTCTACGCTTAAAATAAGTAAGTAAATAAATAAAAATTAAGTTTAAAGAACATGCTTTAAAGCATTAACTGAGTTTTTTCTCCCTGCTCATTCCTCACTTCTCACAGAATATCCACCTGGCCTCAGACGCTCGCTCTGCCCGAGCATACAGAGATGAGCTCGACTCGCTGAGAGAGAGGGCAAACCGCGTAGAGAGGCTTGAGGTGGAGCTTGTTCGGTGCAAAGAGAAACTTCATGATGTGGATTTTTACAAAGCTCGCATGGAGGCAAGTGAAAATTAGGAGGAAGATTTGCTGAGTAATCCTTAATGTTTGGCCTTTGTTGTGTTACCAGTTCATGTGTCATTTGTCATTGAGCTGACTGTAGCAAAACATTAGAGCAAGTGGAAATTTCATAAGGTATGTCATAGTTAGTGACTTAGCAACACTGAAACCTCATTCAGTGGCTAGAAGGACTTGGTACATACAAAAAATAAATACCCATTAGTTTTAATAAACTCTGCGTAGTTCAGCATTATGTGGCTAAACAGGACAGAACTTTTCTGGACACTTTTAGAGAATCCAGACCCTTAGTCTAGCCTTGAAAATGTACACCTAGGTAAAATACCTGTGTCCTGGAGTTGTTCATTTGACCAGCATTTCAAATGTCATGTATAAATTAGCTAAATGAATATCTGGGTGTTTTTCCTTAAAGGTTTGTAGCAGATGCAACTGTTGTTAAAATGGCTGGGCATTTTTAACATGGCCTCAGATGACAAATTCTATCCACCCCTTTTTTGCATCTGTTGCTTGTAGTAAAAAGGAAGAAAAACGTGGATCTTCCTTAGTACCCCGAGTTGGGTATGCCAATGAGAAATTTATGGTTTAGTTCCAGGAGTAATATCAGTTACTCAGCTTAGTTACCTGTAGCTGTGCCCATCCTGGAATTATTAGTTTAGGTTGAACAGGACCTTGAAGATTATCTAGACAAACTCATTGCTTATAGCATGGCTAACATTAAATTTAGGTCAGACTGCTCATATTTTCTGTCCTTTCAGTTCTTTGAACTATTCTCATCTGAACTCTCAATAACTGATGTACGTAACACTTCAGCAGAAGTCAAATACCAAGACTTGCTGAACACATGGAGGCTCAGTAATGGACAACCTCACTATATTTCAATAAAATCACAGGTCTGAAGTAGAAGAGTGATGTTGAAACTCACATTTGCTAGGCCTCTGGCTGTGAACACAGACCTTATTTCTGCTCTATAAACTCTATAGGTAATTTTTTTTCTTCCCCCCCTTTCTAACCTAAGGGGCCAGCTAGCTGCTGCTTCTTCTGAATAGGTTCACTAAAATGGATGGTTATTAAATTTAGTAATAGACTACAAAAGCCTGTCTTCCCTCTCAGTAATTCCCAGTTTACATTAGGAAATACGAAGCTCTGGCACTTTGTTTTCCTCCCTCAAGCTGACAAATCAGTCGTGCATTAATCTGGCATGCTATCTATCAGCGTGGCATCCTGGCATTTCCCTCTCAGCTGCGTGCTGAAGTCTTTTAGCTTCTACCTGCCATTCAGATGACTTAGCTGAAGCTAGGGGAGGAGGTTTTTAGTCTTGTCTTCATCTGGGATCAAGGGAGTAGCTATTTCTGTTCTTAAGTTCTCAAACTCCTTGCTTGTCCTAGACCCAGCAGTTTCCTGCTCTGCTGTTTGCATGCTAATCTTGCTTAACGTACAGTAATGAGACCTCCAGTTTCAAATTTGTTCCAACTTCACTCATTTCCTCTTCCGCCCTGCCAGTTTTTGGTGAAAGTGTTGGATGTGATAGATGACTGTTGACTCTCCCAGGATACCTCCCTGAAATAGAGTAGTGGGACAAAGAATATTTCATAGAATCATAGAA